AGGGGGGGAGGGCAAGAAAGAAGGGGTTAGGGGACCTGCGCGGAATTATTACAGGCTACTACAGATCAGGCGTGCCCGCGACATGTTTTTGTTATAATATTGGAGGCTGCTTCACAGATAACAGTGCGTAGTAATGAAATTGGAAGGGGAAGGAGGGGGGGGGGGGGGAAATACACGGACTTGGAAGGGAATTCAAGTCGGATAGTGCTTCTTTTTACAGGTGTTCAAGGAATAAGCGAAGCGGTGCTCAAAAAGCTTCAAGATAAAGCAGCTACACTTACTGCGGCTCGAAAACAACGTGGAAAGAATCTGCCGGAAGCTCTGGCAAAGCCGGAACTGGTGAAAACATTCTCGCAGACATCATGCCACACCGGAATTCACAGCACAAGCGTACCAGGCATCACGGCACTCGATGTTCAGGTTGCTTTTTATGCTTTACTTTGAACAGTTGTATCGTTTCGCCATGTTTTGCTGTCAATGCAGTTGGCTCTCTCTGTTCTGTACTGCGCCTAATTTAGCATAGGAACCGGATGAATCGTTTTGTCTCGCTGATCTTTTCGGTATTCTGTAATTTGGATTAGGTACTAATCAATTTGAACAGTGATTTAGTTGAGCAAGTAAAAAAAATGTAGAAAAATTTTGTGGATTTTTTATTTTTTGAAGAATACTTTTATATTTTACATGGATATGATTAAATTGAGCCGTAGTTTTGTTAAAAAATTAAAAGAAAAAGGGAAAAAATGTTGGAATTTTGGTTCCTCCAAGTGGGAGGATTAAACATATAGCTTGGGTACAATAGACATTCTCTACTGTGCATTTTTTAGCTGTCTTTTTACCAAATCATAGTGTGAGCGCTGTCCTTCCTAAGCAACGTTCATAAGCAAAATATTGTTTTTTGCTGTGAGAATAGAGAAGTGTTTGGACCAAAAAAATCTAAATTAGAGTTTCGGTTCATAGAATTTGTTCACTTATGTTTACTGGCTTCTGAAGCATCTAGGATTTCCCTGATTCTCGATGCGAAGCTCCTGATTTAGCTGGGATGCAGATGCATGTTAGACGTAATCATGCTGTTCTTTTGTTATAAACTTATTATAATAATTTGCTATCTCCGATTAACTTTTTCGACTTTGTCCGGGTGGTTTTTTGATCGTCCTTCATCGGTTTTTTGCTTTTTTTTCCGGAATTCTTTTGCGTTCCTGCATTGCGGAAAAGAAGTTATTTTATTTAAGGATTCACTGGTGCTGACCGGAGGTGCAGACCGTGCTGTTGTCTTATTCAACAGCGAAACTGAAACAGTGCTATCGACTTTCAAGGGACACCAGAAGAAGATATCGGCAGTTATCCTGCATCCGGGCAAGGAAACGTGCCTATCAGCATCGGCAGATGGACAGGTTTTACATTTTTTTTTGAAGAAAAAACACAATAAAACAAGTGATATTATTGAATTCGCCGCTGATGTATGAGGATTGTGTTATTGGGATGCCTGAAAGTTAATGGTAGCAAAATTTAGTGTTTACCTGGATATTAGTGGTCAGAATTGATTCTGTATTAATAAAAAAGCTGGAACACTGCAGATGAGCACACAGAGTAGAAATAAGCGTATAATTTAGCCATATGACTGTAAAAATTTGCAAATCTTAGCACCATTTAGCAAAAAATTCCGAAAAAAAAAACATTCAATTCAAGTTGGGAGAGTGAATTTTCCTCAAAAACGAATAAATCTTTTTTAAAGAAGCTAAAAGATGCCACATTTAAGCCGCTAATGTTGACTTTTTGAGAAAGAATTGTGCGTGATATACTGGGGGGCAAAATTACATATTCTTTTAGTATTTTTGCGGTGGTAGATCTTGGACACTGCGTCCACTGTGGCGTGATGAATAATGGAATAAGAAGATTGTAATTAGGTGTCATGTATTATAAGACATTTCACAATGCAGTCTGTGTTTCATCCCTTAGCTGTATACACAGGCCGAACAAAGTAAATGTGAACTGTGGGAGAGGAGATGGAAGAGTGTGCTTGCTTATGAATGTTTTGAAGCATACATTATTTTTTACGTTAAAAATTCTTATAGGTTCGAGTTTGGTCGGTGAAGGACGAGTCGTGTCGTCATGTTATTGAAACTCACGAAAACGCTGTCACAGATATATCGCTGCATGCAACCGGCGATTACGTCCTCTCCGTTTCCAGCGATTCGTCCTGGGCACTGTCGGATGTTCATTCTGGAAAAACACTCTGCAGAGTAATTACTTTTTTTTTTTATTTTTAAAATACTAAAAAAAGCATGAGCAGTCGGTTTGGGGACACAGTGATTTCATTGGAATGCTCCTTTATGCCAAGCATAGTCATGTTGAGTCATAAGTTGTTTGATAATTCTTTTTATTTTTTTTTTCTTTGCCAAATATGAGGTTTTTTGGAAGAGTCAGAAATTTTTTAGAGCATTTTTTGCATTTTTTTTCGGCGGAGAGGGGGGGGGGGTTGGGAGGGAGGATCATCATAGGATGTATTGTGATGTTTTGAATAACTATCCTTTCGCCCTGATGGATTTTCACGCCATCAAAGCAGCCGATAATTTTCATGGTTGCTGGGAGAACACCTAACTGGTGCACATCGCTTAAGTGGTCTCCCTGCTCCTGGTGAACCTTCCAAAAGAATTGCTTGATATGTTTCATTCTTTTGAGGTGCCTTGTGCGATCCGTCTCGTTGGTAGGCTTCGTCAGTCCTTCCATGACTACTACCATTCGTGGGCAGGGTTATGCCAGGAGTTAATTTTGTAGAAGTTTTCAGTTGCATTCAATTCGAAGAGTTGGAAACTACGTGAGTAAGTAGCCAAGTAGCATCTCGTAATAAATAGCAACGCGCACCAGACTAGCCGGTGCGATCATGCGTTTTGCCAATTCAGTCCCCTCGAACGATTACCTGTTAATGATTTGCACTGCTTTGTACTTTAGTCTATGCAAAAATAGTTCAGACATTGGAAAATAGTTAAAAATTTCACGCACCAGCGCATGAAAGCTGGATTCGAAACCTTGAAGGGTGAATATCTTCCCGTGATTCTTGAGTTAATAATTTAACCGCCAAAATTCTCACGAGGCCGGAGGTGGTACTCATCAACAGCGTGGGAAAGCTAGATTTGAATGGGCAAGGTTGAGAGTGGGCAAGGGGTCATTACCCTAAAATATCAGCTTTCTAGACTCCGTGGTTCCCGAGATATTAATTTACCCGTAAAAAACTTTGACGCGGCCATACGTGTTACTCGCGGGTAGGGGGAAGCTGAATTTAAATTTGCGGGGTCACATAAGGGTGGGAAACGTACACACACAGACAACCCCGTGACAATATGCGTTTTGTAACGCTGTTGTACAGCGCAAAACGCATAATAATACACAGAATTGAGTGGTGTCAGTAAAGCTAATTCTAAACGCTTCAGCCTTTTGCAGAAAGTTTTGTAATATGGAAGGGCGACATCTTATCAAAATTTGCGCTTCAGCTAATCTTTTTTTGTTTTTCAGGTATCATCGGATGATAAGAATAAGGTAGCGATTTGCTGCGGACAGTTCCATCCGGATGGTCTGATTTTTGGCACCGGAACAGCTGATTCCATCGTGAAAATTTGGGATTTGAAAGAGCAAACCAATGTTGCCAATTTCCCTGGCCATCAAGGTTTCCATCAATTTTTTTTTCAAGTTGAGCACAAATGAAAACAGCCTCTGTATGAGCAAAATTAGCTAGAAGTTAAGCAGGAAACTCTCGATGTTGCTGAAGTGTAGCCAAAAGCTAGATAAAGTTATGTTAGGGCACCTGTGCTTGTAATTTGGGCAAAAAACTCCAAATATCATATAGGATCA